AAAAGAGTTAAAACCCTTATTGAATTTATATATGTCTTATTTAATTCCTGATAATAAATTAAGCCAACAAAATATATTATTAAAGATTTTTGTTTCCAAAGTTGTTTCAGATCGTGAGATTTTAGATCCGAACACATAGTCAACGAGCGCTGATCCGATGTGCATTGTGGAGCTTCCGACTGAAATTGTGCGTGAGTGTCAGCGTAGTCATTAGGTTATTGATCGATCAAATTTGATCAAAAAAGCTGCTTTAGATAAAGTCTGAATATGATGTAATGTTACCATCGTTTTTTTATATCTTTAGCTTTTACCTTGAATTGGTTATTGTTCCACACCTATCACATATACATTGGGTCATTCTTTTTTGTTAAATATTTTAGTTTGCGGGAGTACGTGTATAAAATACTCACTAAAATATTTACTTATATGTAAATTTTTTTTTAAGATATTTGAATCTAACAACACATGACTAAAAAGTGTTTTAGATTCAAACTAAATCAATTCTAAAAGTAAGTGAGTTTGAAACAAAAGAGTTAAAACCCTTATTGAATTTATATATGTCTTATTTAATTCCTGATAATAAATTAAGCCAACAAAATATATTATTAAAGATTTTTGTTTCCAAAGTTGTTTCAGATCGCTAAAACGTGTATTAGTTGAATGCAGAAAAAACTTTCAGTGTCATATTTAAACTCCGTGACCTCAAAAACCTTTTATTGATGTAAAATATGAACTTAAACCAAGCTTTTCTATTAGTTCATCATTATATAATTTCTAATAGTATCACTATATTCTATTATTTAAGAATTTGGTATTTTTTTTCCGTTTTTTATTTAATTCGTCTCACTGTGTGACGTTAGGTCTAACAAAAGAAAAAATAAAATATAATAATTTAATTCGCCTCACTGTGTGACGTTAGATCTAACAAAAGATAAAATAAGATATAATAATGTTTGTCTAATCACCAGTGTCAAAAGAGGACAATTGAAATTTGTTTTTGTTTCTACACATGAAACATTTCATCCTATTTGTTAAGTTAGTTTGTAATAAAAGATTTTAAAATGTTTTGTAAAAAAAGATTTCAATTTTTTAATTTATTGATGCATGCTATTTAGTTTCCAATGTAAGTTAATAACTATAAACTATAATAAAAATTATAATAAAACGAAAATTATAAATAAATACTAATCATAAAAAAAACACTTTAACATAACTTTGCAAATGTTAAGAGATAAGTATATATATATAAATATATATATATATATATATATATATATATATATATATATATATATATATATATATATATATATATATATATATATATATATATATATATATATATATATGTATATATATATATATATATATATATATATATATATATATATATATATATATATATATATATATATATAAATACCACTATATTTAGTTACAATCAAATATAATTACGAATAAATATAATTAAATATAATTACTTATACCTATAATTAAAAATAATTATAATTACTGATAGTGTAGATACGAATAAATATAATCATAACGAAATATAATTACAACTACATATTATTAGAACTAAATATAGTTACGTCTAATATAGTTACGTCTAATATAGTAAATATAGTTACGTCTAAATATAATTACTATCTAATATATTTACCGTAAATAATTTACGACTAACTATAATCAATACAAAATATATTTAAGACTAAATATAATCCCAATTAAATTTAATTATAACTAAATATAATTACTACTAAATATAATTACTACTAAATATAATTACTACTAAATGTAATTACGAATAAGTATAATTACTATTTAATATAATTAGTGTTAAATATAATTGCTATTAAACATAATTACTATTATATATAGCTATTACTAAATATAAATAATATCAGATATTATTGCTACTAAATATAATTACGACTAAATATAATTACTATTAAATATAATTATGATTAAATATAACTACTACTAAATACAATTACTGCTAAATATAGTTACAGCTACATATAAATACTACTAAATATAATTACTACTAAATAATAAAACTACTAAATATAAGTACTTTTCAATTACCCAAAATAAATTGGTAAAATCTTTTATAAAATGTTTTTGAAAAAACACCTAAAAGATTTTGTTATGGAAATATATTAAGTTAGGGAAATGATTGAAAAAGAGTATAAAAGTAATTTACCAAAAAAGCGTCTCTCTAATAAATTGCTACTTAATGTGTTTGAGAAGCTTATTTATTAATATTTTAAATATGCCGCTCAGACTAAATATTGCTCTTCACAAGACTAAAAATAGCTATCATCTTCCATTAAGCTCAATAAGATTTATTTGTTATTAAGCAAAACTTAACCTATGTACATTAAGATTTGATTTCTATTTAAAAATATAATTTACTTATGAACAACAAGATTTGATTTTTAATTAAATTAGTTCAGTACAATGAGTCTAATCTTTAAAAAAATAAATTGTTTGTTGCTTTTAATAACCATAGAAAAATAAATAAAAAAATGGTGTTTTAGATAAAAACTAAATTTGATGTAACTTTGTTATTTTGAATCTTTAACCTTTTCCTTAAATCGGTTATTGTTTTCCTGCTATCACACATATATTTGGTCGTTCTTTTTTTGGAAAACTTTTAGTTTCCGGGTTAGCGTGTCAAAAATAATTATTCAAGTATTTACTTTTAATAAAGTTGTCGTTAAGATATTTCAATCTAACAATATTTTACTAAAAAGTGAACTGAATCAATTCTAAAAGTGAGTTTAAAATAAAAGATTTGAGATTCTTATTGAATTTATTCAAACTTCTTAATTAATTCCTGATGATAAAATAAGTAAGCGAAATATATCATTATAGATTTTAGTATCAAAATTTGTTTTTGGAAACAAATTTTCTTCGATGTAAAATATGTATTTAACCCGGTCTTATCTATTAGATTATCATTATTATCTATAATCTAATATTAATCACTGTTATCTATTATTAATTAGTTTAGTATTTTTTTTCGTTTTTAATCTAATCCGCCTCACTGAGCGACGTTAAGTCTAACAAAAGGAACAAAAAGATATAATAATTGTTGTCTAACCACCAGTGTCGTAAGAAAATAATTGAAATTTAATTGTGTCTACACACACACACACACACACACACACACACACACACATATATATATATATATATATATATATATATATATATATATATATATATATATATATATATATATATATATATATATATATATATATGTATATATATATATATATATATATATATATATATATACATATATATATATATATATATATATATATATATATATATATATTATATATATATATATATATATATATATATATATATATGTATATATATATATATATAAATATATATATATAAATATATATATATATATATATATATATATATATATATATATATATATATATATATATATATATATATATATATATATATATATATATATAGTATATATATATATATATATATATATATATATATATATATATATATATATATATATATACATATATATATATATATATATATATATATATATATATATATATATATATATATATATATATATATATATATATATATATATATATATATATATATATATATATATATATATATATATATATATATACAGTGGAACGACAACCCACATTGATTGGAAATAATCCAAATGTGGCATTAATTCCACAAAGTAGTGTTGTAATGAAAATCATGTAAAATGCGTTAAGGCTCATTGCAAAAAGATTGCTGGGCTATCTTTTTATTAAGAGCTTTGATTCGAGTGTATATTTTTCAATCATTTAACATGGAGCTTATACTATTTTATGCATTTAATAATATGCCATACTTTAGAAATTAGACTTATAACATATTAGGTTACAAATGCTCTTTCTATCATTTAATAATATGTTTTAAATGTTTTTTAATTACATTCGGTTTTGAAGAACTGACAGAAGAAAATTTAAGACATGTTAACCTTAATAATCCATGGCTCAGTTCAACTTATAAATCCTATAACACGGTTTACCCTAGTCAGGCGAATCTAAAAATTAAATAAGATGTTTGAAAACTTAGCGACTGGGTTTTTTAAAAAATAAAAAAAAGTAGGTCCCATAACATTTGGGAAGGGAGGGGGTGGTACACCCCTCCAAATTTTTCTCTGAAATTAGCGTAGTGTTGTCATTTATTATTTTTCAATTTTTAAGGTTAAAAAGCAAAGGTAACGTGTGTATTGCTTACTAATGCTTACAATTGAAATTTTTTGGTTGATTTTTAAAAGCAATATTTGACTCAGCTCTTAATGTTTGGTTTTTTAGTATTTTATTTACACACGAGCAAGTTTATTGAATGGTTTATACGAGTTTATTATAATGTAAATAAAGTTTCATCTAAGAGCATACATCATAAATATATTTTTTTTAGTAATAATAACCATGACCTAACCATGAGATTAGTTATGATATTGTAGCATGATATGATTAACTACGCTATTATAATGTGAGTAGATAAGTTATCCATATTTGGATATGCAATAGTAAAAATTGCTTACAAATCTTGTAAAAAATGTGTTAATAATAAAGATTATCATTTTTTTAAAATTATAACAAAATCCAGTTCCCATAATGTTTACACTTGTCTTGTGATGTTATTATTAAACACATGTATCATTGTTTTTTTTTTTGTTTTTTTTTGCTAAATTGATAAGCGTTAGCTTCGATGCTTACTAAAGCATTTGTAACAAATTTTTGCAATTATTTTAAGTGCAAGCAATTTAAAAATATTATTTTCAAATTTTGATGATTTTTTAACTTTTTGATTCTGTTTGCAATTGTTTAATGTAGTTTAAATATTTTGATTGTGTTTCCAATTTTTTGTTTTGTTTTCAACTTTTTTGCAAGAATATTAAAAAATTTATTATAAAAGCATCAACATTTTAGAAAAAATGAAATATTTTATTTTGATCGGCATTCTGGTTCAATCTTTTTCATTTGAACTTCAAAGTTTTTCAAATGATCCTCAGATTCCTATGAAGGATCCGGAATGGAGAAGATTTAAAATAAAGTTTGGTAAATTTTATAGCAACGACGATGAAGAAAAATCAAAATATTTGATCTGGAAAATGAACAATGAAAATATAAAAATTCATAACTCCGAAAACCACTCTTTCGAAATAGGAATAAATCAGTTTTCTGATCTGGTAAGATTTTTTTGTTAATATAACATGTATTGTTAAATAATTTTAGAAAAATATTTTACAATAAAAAGTATAAAAATTTAAGCATCACTCAAAAAAAAGTGCCAACAAGTTCTTTTTAAATTGGTTGTTCATAACTAAACCCTTGAACTTTTCATTAAAAACTAAAAAAGGATACTATATTAATAGCCAATAAAGTTGCTAAAACTTTCAAATTATAAACTGTTTGAAAATTTTAAAAATGGTTTTTAAATAATAATTTAAAATTCAAAACTTTGCTAATACGCATACACTAATTAATAACCCAATATTAAAAGTTTTAAACAACCTGTTACGGGTATAAAAGGCGGCGGTAATCTTTAAGTTTTTTTTATTTGGTGGATTCCAGATCATCTGATATGATTGTGGTGAAGAAAAGGGGAGCATTTTCGAATCCCATTAAAAGGTAATATAAATTTAAACTCTCTATTTAAATTAACTTCTTCACTTTTAAACAATGAATTGTGTTAAATATATAGAAACATATAAAAAATAATTTTATTAGGCTGTAAAATAGAAACGATTGCCCGATCGCCCATATTGAGCCCTATATGGAACGCCTTCGCTGTGACGTTTTGAAAAAAGAATAGAAAAACATAGACTAAAACACAGTTACATTTATATCATGTGGCAAATTATTATATGTTATATTATAAATTTTAATATTGGGTTTTTAATAAGAATATTGATACTTTTAAATAGCAATAAAAATAAATTTTGGTTTTTATAATGTGAATTTATTTGCAATTAAAAACCTATTATAATAAATTATTTATAATTAGTCATGTGATACATGACTAGTTATAAATAGTTTTTATAACTAGTCATGTATCACATGTTAGTTATAAAAAGTAATATATCTTAAAATTAAAAAAATTCTTGACCAAAAACAGCGTCAAGAATTTTAAGTTTCAATAGTTATAAGTTAAAAAACCATTACAAGTTCAAAAAAGTTCAAAGTTAGATAACAAAATAAAACAAATAAAATAAATTAAAACAAAATAAAGTAAATAAAACAAAATAAACAAAATATGCAAAAGTAACAAAATAAATTCAATAAACAATTAATTAAGCAACTAATTAAAGCAATTAATAAAACAGTTAATTAAGAAACTAATAAATAAAACAAAGTAAACAAAGTAAAAACAAATTTAAGATTTTTTTTTATTTTGTTTTTAAAAATTAAATAACAATTTACTATAAAAAAGAAGAAAAATCCTAGAAAAATAAAAAAGGTAAGTCATTATTTTCTCTGTAATCAACTGAACATAGGTTCAATGAAACATACGTTTAATGCAGGTTTATTTTAATAGTAATATTTATTTATTTTGTTTATATGTTATAATATTTGTTTTCACTATTTTCTTTGTATTTTTCATTTTCTTTACATCATATACTACTAAATTAACTAAAACTGTATATTTGTAAAATCTTAAAAAAATTAAAAAAAAAAATAAACAAATAAGTTTTTTTTTTAATAAATTATTAGAAAAACATATGAAAACATTAAAAAAACAAGTTGTAAAGCAAGTAATTGGGAATTTAATATGAAATTATTTTACAAAAACATATCTCAGTATTAAATAGCTAATTTAGGTCGAGTGAATAAAAACGAGCAATTGCTTTTACTAATAAATTGGTTAGCTTTACGAGAATAAAAACTTGAAAAACATTGCTTAAGTTTTATTCTCGAAAAGCTGAGCAATTACTGAGTAAATTGCTTACCTAGAAGTAAATAAAAATTTGAGGATAACTCCTAAAGTTTTTATTCACGTAAAGCTGACCAATTACTGAATAAAAGCTATTGATTATTTTTATTTACCCGACCTTTTATCTGTGTACTATTGTTGAGAAGCTTATTTATTAATATTTCAAACATGCTGCTAAGACTTAAAATTGCTCTTCAAGAGACTAACAATAGCTTTCAGCTGCTGACAGAAATCCTTTAAGCTCAACAAAATTTCATTATTATTTAAAAAATCAAATTTTTTTATTGACAACAAAACTTGATTGTTATTTAACAAGATTCAAGACACTTATTGACAACAAGATTTGATTAATATTTAACAAAATTCAATACACTATTTGAATTTAAGACTTGATTTATATTAAAAATAACAGTTAGATTTAATTTATTTTTTTAAGGTTATTTAGTACAATAGGTTTATCTTAAGAAGGTTATTGTATTTTTGTATTTTTATATCTGTACCTTCTTTTCTTTATTCGCTTATTGTTCCCGGCTAGCACTTATACAACACAACGTTTCAGGTTGTACACATCGAGTTGCTACCCGCAACGTTGCAACGTTGCTAATGCTAAGTTATAAAACTTATATTTTATATATATATATATATATATATATATATATATATATATATATATATATATATATATATATATATATATATATATATATATATATATATATATATATATATATATATATATATATATATATACTCATTCCAAAACGTTCGCTAAATTATTGATATAAGGTTTTTTTTATTAATTGATTTCTTTTATAAATATATTATACAAATTGTTAATTATTCAATCGATTCTATATTTAATTAAAATTAGTTTAAATCATATAATTGATTTTTGCAATTTGATTTAAATTTAAATCAAGTTTCACAATTTTTTAGTAAAATCATTTATTTGTTATGATTTAACAGCTTCTGTACTAGTGTTGTTAAAAATCATTTTTCAAATAGATGCAAACTTAATCAACCAAAATTTGAAAAAAACAAACATCTTTATTATCTATAGGTGTAATATAAAAAATAAAAAAAAAATATTAAATTAATATTACTTAAAATCTGCTGGCATTTAAAGAAACTAAAAACATTTTTTTTTTGTTATAATAATGTATAAATTATAAAAATTTTAATGTAATTAAATAAGCAAACTTAATATCATTTTTAAAATAACTTATTATGAAAAATAAAATCTGAAAAAAAAAATATTTTATACTTTTTTGCTACAATTATGGTTTTAATGTTGTTTTTTATTTTGATATAAATCAATATATAAAATTGAACTCTATCTAAATTAAAAAGAAACAAAAAACAACATGAAAATCAAAAAAAACTAATATCAAAAAACATCATTTTAATTAATAACTTAAAATCTATCAGGCTTTGAAAAAAAAAAAAAAAAAAAAAAGATTTTAAATAAATAAAAAAGTTTCGTTCAAAACCGTTATTTAAAACAAATTTTTATAAAAAAACTTCATCAAATATTATCATAAATTAAACAGCCCTACAACAGCGTATGTATTATCTCATCTAACCCATGGAATTAGCAGTAGATAAGAATAAAATATTGAGAATGTAATAAAGTTTTGATGATTGTTTCGATCTGACTTATTTTCAAAAAATTGAATAATAAATGATTATAACGGGGTTGGTAAATTTTTTTAACAAAAAAACAATCAAAGAATATTAATTATACAACCAAGAAATTAAAATAACACCGTCGAACTTGTATGATTATTCTTAACCAAAAAAGTTTGCAAAAAAATCATTAATCTACCCGTAAAAGAGGTTATGCCATCTAACGAACCTGCTCATTTTACGCAACCTTCCAATATATTAAATTAAATGATGTTTTTTAATATTTTGGCGATAAGACAAAAAAATGACTTCTTGCTTCTTTATTTCTAAATTTATTTAGGTTGTAAAATATTTAAACATAATGTTAGAAAAAAAAACTACTTTATATAAGGTTAGGTTACTTAAGTTAGATTGGTTTTATAGAAAGTTTTTATTTACAAATGACAGCAAATAAATGATTTAATGATAAAGTTATGCCATTCGGTTTAAAAAGTCCGTCATTTTTATGTAATAAAGGGAGAAGAAACTACATATAAAAACAATTTTAAATTAAGAAAAGTAGTCTTTAGGGCGGATCCAGGTGGCATTATTGAATTATAGCCCTACGTAATCAGATTCTTACAGAAACACAAAGAAATCATCAAAAATCACGTGTAAGTGAACTATTATTTCTAAGCCTATAAGGTTTTCTTTTCTTTATTTTTACGGCGAAAAGCGTAATATTATAAAATATTTTGCAGTTAGCTCTAAATGCCTGATTAATAATATCGCAATTTATATAGTATTTTTTAAAAATATTGAACAGCCGTTCGGAAGCATTTATAGTATAAAAAAAAATTCGAAACAGTATTTATTGTTATTACTGGTTAAGATAATAAATAAAAATAACAGTTACATCAAATACTTTTTTATGCCTTTTTTTTCATTACATTCTGGTATTTGAACGAATAGTTTGCATTATTCGGCTAAATACCAAATAGTATGAAAAGTTGCCGAGTAGACCGAATACCGAATATATCTGAACAATAGCTGAATGTTTGTGACATCTCTCTTGTAATGACTTTAAGCAACCCATAGAGTAAATATACCAAACAATCATGGCTTGTCCTGTAGCTTGTGCAAAAGCTTTTCTATTAAACTTTCAAAATATTAAATTTACAAGAAGAGAAAGACCTCAAAATCCACCTACTGTATTTGAATTAATTCAAAAGAGTTTAGTTCGAAATTATTTACTAGAGAAAAGAAAAACAACGGAAGCTGAATGCTTTGTATGATCAGTAAAAGATAATGAACTTTCAAAACTTGTAGATCTTGGCAAAACTGATTCGCATGAAAATGTTTATGATATGCAATTCTTTATATCAAAGATCACTAAATAGTTTAGCTTTTTTATTTTTAACTTTTTAATTATACTTGCTTAACTAGCTGTTAGTTATTAGCATTATTAAGGAAAAGGGCTTGAAACAACACTGGTAGTAATAAATTTTGTCTATTAGTATTTAATGACTTATCATATGAAGCCTATAATGCTGGAGTTGGATGTACTACTACCTCGTTAATTAAAAATCTTAAGTTCAAATGTTTGTAATAAGTTCATAAGTTTAAATGTTGGTCACAAGTTCACAAGGA